TTAGGGGTATCACCTAAAATCCCTTCTTCGAAGTTGTATCGCTTGGAAACCCCGCCTATACACGCTTTTCTTAGCGTGTGGGAAGGGAGCCCGGTGCGATGCGCACGACGAAGCAGGATACCCATAAGTACCCGCGTGGGGAAATAACTTTTTTTTCTTGCAAATATATATATATATATAGTATTATATATTATATATATATATAATATATAATATATTTATTATATATATATATATATATATTATACTTATAAATATATACTTTTTGCAAAAAAATAATTTAAAAAATACCCATACACGTTTTTCTTAGCGTGGTGGGGATCAAAAAAATACACGGCCGCGTTGGTTCCTCGAAGAGGGCACCTACCATACACGCTTTTCTTAGCGTGGTGGGAAAGGCCAGTTTTTCCGTAGTTTCCCCCTAAACGGGGGAGACGCCGGAGGCTGCCGAAATTTCGGGTGAACCAACACTACTATTTGGACTTAATTGAACTCGAAGGAACGATCGAACTTGGACTCAGCTTGTGAACCTTTGAATTTGATTAGAACAATGATGGACTCGGACTGTTGGACTTTAATGCAATAAAGCTCAAATCTAAAATAAATCAAGCTTAATAAATCAAAGAACTTGATTTGACAATTAAGCCGACAAGGCTTGGAATTGAAAATGATACAAGGGACTTGAATGAATATAAAGGACTTATTTAAGAACTTGAGTTGGACTCAAGCCGAGCTGCCACTTGAACAATAGAACTTTGATTTGAACTCAAAAGACCTCATTCAAAGATTTAAATTCAAGCTTGATCAAAACGAACTTGAATTGAACAAGATCAACATGAAACTTATGAACTTGGTTTGAACCAAGTAAGGGGGACTTGTAACTTGAGCTTTCCGCAATTGAACTCAAACTTGAGCCTCAATGAAACATATCTTTGTGTATAAGATCAAATAAATCAGCTTAAGCAAATGATGTGAATTTGAACTCAGACTTGGATTTGCCTTGGACGACAAGGAGTTTTGCTTGATAACAAATAACAAGATTTGGACTTGAGCTAAATGAAGTGATAAGAGAACACTTAAATGAATGTAGAAGAGCCAAATTGAATGTTAAGTGGACTACAATGAACTTAATGTAGACTTGAAATGGGTTTTATAAGAATCCATTTTTGAATGAATTATAAGAAACCTATCCGAATCTCATCCAAGTGAGGACTCGTGCACTAATATTCATTATAAGCTTTAACATAAAGTTTATTTAAGCAAGCATCTTCAGCCTGTATATAACCATTTCAATGTGTAAAGAGGTTAGTATCAAGCTCATTGTGTATCTTGTGAAACCATCTTTGAAGACAAAGTTTTATAATTAGGTTTGAACTACTTTTGAAGACAAAGGATTTGCAAATAGAATTTGCGCACAACGATAGAAGACAGTGGGGAATACGACTTGACTAAGAAGTCATGATATGAGGACTTTGAACCATTTGACTCTCCATAAGCAACGAACATGGAATTGTAGGAGATGTGATTAACCCACCTTTAAGTCATCTTGGCAGATCTAAATAGAAGATGTCAACAGTTGTGTGATCATTCAAGATATATGCAAAAGACATCCTATGAAACCATATAAAGATGGAGGAAAGGTTGATGTATGTATATTAAACATATGAGTAAATATACATTGTCCTCTTTGCAAATAAAGGGGTTCACAAAGCAAGCATCGCCACGGATATTCCTAAAATTCATCATGTATGTTGTAAGTTATAATGGTGATTCTTTAAGTTAAAAAAGGGTCATGGGAAAGAGCTTGATCTTCATGCCAAGAAGCACATGGTAGCTCTTATTCACATCTATGTGCGAACTACTGGACGAAAGATCGTAGACTGTGTAAAGAAGAAAATTATAGTGTGACCCCAGTGACTGTAGAAGGTCTATCATGCCAACACAGTAATTCAATCTACAAGCATCCAACAATGAAAGCAGGAGATTAGTTAGTGCACTACGATTCCACTGCATAAAGCAACGAGATAGTGCACGACAGTCCACCTGTACAAAGCAAGCGAACACACTAAATTCAGAAGCTGCTACGACCAATACGCACCGAACCGCAATTTCCATGCAAAGCGGACAGAAAGCGGTCTACAAATACTTTTTAAAGGTACCCCCGCACGTACACAGTATTGTATACACATAGGTACACTAAAAGGGGTTTAAAACAATCACAAAACTCGCATGGGCCCCGTACCGAACGTGTTATAGAAATACACGTATGTAAGGCTGCTGCAGCGGGTTATCAAATTTTTGAACCTGATCTCCTAAGAGATAAAGGACGTGAGACATCGGGTTCAATTATAAAATCCCCCAAACACCCGCTCCATCGGGCCCCGACGAGCGTATTTGGGTACATGTCTATGGATGTCGCGGGTTGACAAGTGCATTCAGGTTCGAACCGATCCTTCTATAACCGGGTCCAATAGAGTCGACAAGGTTCGAACCAGACGAAACAAATATACGGTTGTGGCGACCATCATATTTGTCTTTAATACATTCATCTTAGGCTTTCAAGATGATATATAATTAGAATTCACTATCAAGGACATAAAGCCTACGAAACCCGATGCCTCGATCAATAGCTTGGTCGAGTTGACAGGGTTTAAGCAACAAAAAGAAATAACCCCAACACGCTGATGATGGGCCATGTTGAATGCAAATCTCAACCGAGGGGTCCATTTCCAAATAGTTATTCAAATGCCGTTCCAAAATATCCAAAATTCAAAAAAATCTTAAATCCTAAAATCCCAAAAAATATTTAAAAATTGAAATCCAACTATCGAACACTTAAAGCAAATCCTAATCCACCCTCCACAACAGTTTTGCTGGGGTGGACAAATTAAAATTTTATTCAGCTCAGCATAGAGCCAAATACCTAGTTCGAAAATATCACTAGGATCCATTCTCAACAATCTCTTGCCAGTAAGGACGTGGTAACGTGTCCTCTAAACACTGGAGTTTCGCCGCCAAATGGCACTGCAGGTAAACGGTTATGACCCGGGGCCCTCTGAACGAGTGGTTTTTCCGTAAATGGACCATAGATGCGGTTATGGCCAGAGCCATACACTCCTTAATGGCGTTAAATCTTGAGATATGAATCAATAGGATATGATCGATAGGGCCAAGCCCTCTGTTGCTAAAAGGTGGATTCCAAATTTGTGCGCCTTAGACAAACATTCCAACCCCGGTCTACAAGGTATCCTTGGACGATAGCAACCCCATGTTGCCGACAGGACCTTCTTGTCAGGTTGGGTCGACTACCTCCCTGACTAAGTAGACCCGAGACCACGATG